TTATCTAGGATCCCATAAACCTTGAATCTTTGACTATTATATTTGCTCTTCAATGACCACAGCCATATTCACAGATTTACATTCTCAGAGATTGTTATCGCTATTCTTAATTTTTTTTTCAAGCCTTCCTGTTCCCTCATTATAACAATAATACTTTATCACTCTGGAACTTTGGAAAATACAGAAAAAAATAAAATGAAATAAAAATTATCCATAATCTCCCAGAAAAATCCAGTGTTAACATTTCCATGTTTATTACTGTTTGGTATTATAACGTATCCTTTTGTATCTAGCTTTCACAATGTATCAGTAGTTAAACTGAGTAAAGAACTGTTACCACTAGGGTGTAAAGCTGAGAATGATCACTGGCCAATTGGTATGCATGCACCCACTTATCCTCTCTTAGAATAAAACATTCTCAGAAAAGGAGAGCCAGCTGTGTAATTTAAGGCTAAGACCCATTCCCCAATCCAAGCGCTCTAATTATACTGCAAATGGAGATTATTTCTGAGAGATGACTTTCCACTGGTTAGATCTTGCTGTGGCCAGTTTTAAAGCCCCATTTATCCCAATGCTCATTAATTGTTTCAAATTGAACCTGTGAACACAGGCTTCAGGCCTCCATCAAGGTTTCCCAGCAGGAGTCAAAATGCTTCCACAATGAGCTGATTACAGAGAAAGCTGCAGCTTCTAAGGGAAGAATTGGTACCCAGCGCGTTCTTTCAGAAGGAAAATTTAGCTGTTTTCAAAACATCTGATTTTTTATCTTTCAGTTTATATTTGTTTAGAGGGAGAAACTAAATGGCTTTAATTTTGTAAAAGCTTAAATTATATGTTGTATTTGATCAAGTCATTCCCCTGCTGAAAATCCTTCAGACAGCTTTGAGAATATAAATTCAAGTTTCTTAGCCTAGAGTAGATAAAAATCTCCATGACTTGGTTTCTGTCTACCTCTCTAGCTCCACAATTTCCAAAGTTTATGTAGTGGAATACCAGTCTTGGTTTTCTGTGGGAAGAAAAAAAACTATTCGACCGACACAGAAATTTGGAAAATGCTGCAAATTCTTATCACTCCATGTCCACTCTTCGCTCCCACCCCTCTGAGAAGAATGACCTTGAGAAGGCTTTTGAGTGATTCGGTTTAACTTTGTTTAAGCCACTGTTCACAAATTCCTTTGGCCACAGAATGCTTTTTATTCCTTCATCTAAGTCTCTTTCACTGAAGACACTTTCAGAAATGCTACTCTGGCCTCGCTTTCTCCTAGCTTCAGGTGTACTGAACTTGTTTGTGTCTTGAATTTCTTGTGATTCCTCTAAAATACCATCCTCCTGTTACTACGTACAGGTGCCTTCCAGTTGCCTTTCAAAATTCAACTCCCGTCACCTTGTCTGGTGGGCTTTTCCTGTCCCCCTACTCAATCTAATTTAGATCCCCCTCCTCTGTGTTCCCATAGCAACCTACCTATAAATATCTTTATAATAGCACTTAACAACTATACCATAATATTTGATTTATTTGTTGCCCTTCCTCAATAGAGACTTAAGATCTTCAAGGGCAGAAAAGATATTTTCTTTGACCTTATATTCTTAATAACTCTGTGCCTGGTACATGGCAGTCTCTCAATAAATGGTTGTTAGATGCTTTATATATGTGGGTTCCCATTTAAACAGGACTCTACACAGATATAATTTTGCAGAATCTTATATTTTAAAAACCACACCTGACTCATTTACCTAACTGTTCCTGTAGGTGTGTCTATTTTCAATACGACCAGTCACCTCTAATTATTGTCATGTATTCCAGTAATATAGTTTGAAGTTTCTGTTCCGCATTTAAAACTTCTATTACATATTAGTCTGCATCTACAAGTTTATCTTAGAACCTGCATCTGTTGACACTCCCTCATGGTGATTCATTTCCTTCAGTGTTTATGTTTCATGTGAATTCATCTTTGATAGAAATTGTTTTATAGAAATCCCTTGTACCCTGGGTTGTAGATGTGTTCCTTCAAGGTGGTTTTGAAATTGCTTGTGCCAGCGCCACAAGGTTTCATGAATACAGACCCAGTTTCTATGTTAAATTCTTAGCTTGGGAGTTCCAAACTACATGGGTAGTGAAAATTTCTCACAAATAACTTTTCTGTCCCTGTCTAGACTCTTGTTTAGACCTCCTTCCTTGCTACTTCTTTGAGCTATGGGCAAAGTACCCTTTTCATGAACTGGGCAGCCCTTTGAGATTTCTAGCTTGATATCGGTTCTTGGTTACAGATCCCAGCCTAGTAGAGGTCAGGAGCCATCCCTCCTACACACTCACAGCATTAAAATATGAGCTTCCAAACCCTAAGGTCTACATATAGGTCTAATACCAACCCTATGCAGGTTCCCATTTAAACAGGACTCTGCACAGATGCTGGGCCACTCAAACCGCTCTGGCTTTTGAGTTCTCTTCATTTTTATCATTTGAGAGTTCCCTTTTATTGTTCTGAATTCAAATAAATAAATATCTATATATTTTTTTTTTACTTTTTTGTTTAAAATATTCCCCAGTAAAGTATCAACTATATTTTTCTATATTTATCATGGGAAAGGGGGCCTTGTAAGTTCCATCTACCATGTTGCTGGAACAATCTCCTAAATATATTTTGAGACCATTCACTTTTTCCCACCTCTTCCACCATTATCTCAGTGCAATCCACAGTTCTCACTCACATGCCCTTCTGCAATGGTCTCCTTACTGGTAAACTCACATCCATTCTTGTCCATTTTCCCTTGTTCAATTCATATGCAATTCTGCAGCAAGTGTTTAAAAGCCAGTACTTTAAAAAATATAAGTTAGACCATGTTATTTTTTGCTTAAAATCTTCTAGTAACACATGACCCAGAAATTCTACTCCTTAGGTATATAACCAGAGAAATGAAATCATATGTCTATACAAAAACTTGTACAAAAATGTTTATAGTAACATTACTCACAATAATCAAAAGGTAGAAATAACCTAAATATCCATGAACTTATGAAAGGGCAAACAAAATGTAATATATCCATACACTGGAATATTATTCAGTCATAAAAAGGAATAAAGTACTGATTATGGAGACAGAAAATAGATCAGTAGTTGCTTAGGTAGGGGAAAATGGGGATATGGGGTGGTGCCAATAGCAAAAGGGTACAAGATTTCTCTTTAAGGTGATAAAAGTGTTCTAAAATTGACTGTAATGATGGTTGTACATATCTGCGAACATACTAAAAACCACTAAATTGTACAATTTAAATGGGTGAATTGTATAGTATTCAATAGATATTTGTGGATTGAATAAAACTTCTAAAACAAAATCAAGGCCCGGTGTGGTGGCTCATGCCTGTAATTCCAACACTTTCAGAGGCCAAGGCAGGAGGATTGCTTGAGACTAGGACTTCAAGACCAGGCTGGGCAACATAGCAAGACCCAGTTTCTACAAAAAATAAAAATAAAACAAAACCAAAATCTGTAGCAGGTATTATGTAATTGACCAAAGGTCATGAAATTCCCACAAGGCAGTAACTATCTAAGTTTGTCTAAATAATATTTCATGCAACGAGGTATTTAATAATACAGTTTGATAAAAAAACTAATTTCTTCCTCATTTCTGGGATCATGATCTTAATGATCAATTTAACTCATTCTATTTCTCTCAGCATAGAAAGATAGTTTAAAGAGAAATTTTTTAACCTAATGAAAAGATTACTTTTGAATTTAGTTTCTAGATGAAATTAATAGTATCTAAATTACATCTGACCTATTAAATACATAAGCATTAACTATTCAAGATTGATTTATTAATATTTCCTTGGCTGGAGGCCAATTAGAAGAGGAAAATTATTAGCTCTGAAACCTATTAGCTCAGAAAATTGGTTTCCTTCAGTTTTTATGTAAAGAAATAAAAAAAAGAAAAGAAGAAAAGCACTATTTTCCAAGTAACTTAACACCTCATTTCCCTTTCTTCTCAAAATGTATCTTTCTAATAGACATATTAGACACATTGGAGCTGTCCTTATAAATAAACAAACAAAAAGTTTAACCTGTATCTTATAGATAAGATTTTTTGACTCACTACACATACATACACATAAATAAAAAATCTCCTTCCTTTGGGTATTCAAAATAATATAAAGTCAAACTAAAATCTAAATTTTGACAAGATTTCACCTTGTTTTTCTAGTTTTAAGAAGGGAAAATTATAGCCTTCGTCTTTAGATCTGAAACTCCCAAATGGAGTGCATTCCATCTTTTGCACTTCTTTGAGGGGGCAGGAAATGGCCCATTATCCCTTGGCCACATCTTCCACAGCTTCTCTTAATCCTGACAATCAAAAAGTTCTTCTTAGCTTCTACCTTAAGTCTCTCCTATGTCAATTCACAATTGTTCTCTCATAACTTCTCTCTAAAGAAATTCCAGAATAAGCCAGTCTCTATCCTTCAACCATATCATCATATACTATTCATTTCCTTTTTCTGGTATTCTTCTCAAATTAATTAAAACTTGATATCCCTGTGAGTGGGGGCGGGGCTGTTAAAAAAAAAAAAAAACTTGATATCCAAGCTTTATTTCTTTGAGTCTTTTATCATACTGTTACCTTTCTTTGCTGCCAGAGAGGTCATCATAAACTACTCAGAACAAAACAAAAGATTCTTCTCTGTGCTTCAGGTTCTCATCACAAAAATGCAGAAATAATGCCTAACAACTGGCTATATCCTAATAGAAATGCCTAACAACTGGCTATATCCAAATAGAAAAAGATATGCCCTATAACCATAATATAATAAGCGTCTATGTTGGATAATCAGAAATAACTGAGATCTCTGCCAAAAAACGCCCAGAAACAAAAGACAGAACCCAAACAGTAATATGAAGATCTATTTTCATAAATTTATTTGAGATTGGGGAAAAGACTTTACACCCACTCCTGTATCTCCTACCTCAAAGCGGAGTCATACAAGTAAAATCAGTGACCTAACATACCTCCTCTTCTCCCTGGCTTCCGCAGAGGAGTCTGTCCCAGCAGTGGAGAGCACAGTGGCAGCTGAAACCCCATTGGCAGTGCTAGGTGGAGGGCGATTGGTGATCACACAGAGTGGAGTGCTAGAAGAGACATTGTCTGCTGTTTTCTCTGCTATCGAGTCAGACTGGGATTTGGGAGGAATCCTGAAATAAAAAAGAGACAGGCAGAAGGAGAATGGTTAGGCATGCTGTACAACAAAGCACTGGTATAGAGAGAGAAGGGTTAGAGAGAGGTTTAACTGGAGAATCTTCTTGCTCAGATTTTATTTGTTTGTTTCTTATTTTGAGCCCTTAAATCTTGAAACAGTATGATTACACATTTGGTCTAAAATCCTTTGCCTGACAAATTACATTTTATGAGATTTTTTTTTTTTTTGCCCGAGATTAAAAAACAAACAAAAATCATTAGCTATGGCACAAGGCAAGATAGTGACATATGCAAGAGTGCTTTAAATGACTCCCCAGTAGCATCTGGTCTTCACACACATGCACACAGAGACAGGGCCTCTTTATACATGAAAAAGTCACTTACGATATTAGTCTCCACCTGTCCCTTAATTCTTGGCAGTGGGAGTCTTTGTGGTAGTCTTCAGCCTAGATCTGACGAGCATCTTCTTGGATTATCCAGAGACAATTGATAAATACTCTATAATCTCAGTATGTTTAGTTCTCCCTCACGTAGTTCAGCAACTGCTCTCTCTTTCCATTTAACCAAATGCCTAATTGTCTATATTTATAACTGCCTAAGCGACAAATTGAAACAAAAACCGAATAGGATTCTATATGTAACCTTAACTACACACTTTTCAACAACAAGCTATATAATTAAAGTCATTTGCATGAAAATAAGATCTTTGTTTCTTAACAAAGAGTTGGGAACAACTATTGGCTCTCTACCCAAAAAGCTATCATTTGTGATGTCACAGCTTGTTGCTGTGGTAACAGAGATCCAAAATTGATACAGAAATGCAGAAAGCAATGAAAAGCGTGAATGTTAAAAATCTGTTTTTTCCACCTACTCCCAATTATTAGCAGAAATGTTCACAAGTATCTATAAGCTTATTTCCTAATAATCACATTATTAGAATAAACTTAAATAATCAGAACATAGGCCGGGCGTGGTGGCTCATGCCTATAATCCTAGCACTCTGGGAGGCCGAGGCGGGTGGATTGCTTGAGGTCAGGAGTTCAAAACTAGCCTGAGCAAGACCCTGTCTCTACTAAAAATAGAAAGAAATTAATTGACCAACTAAAAATATATATACAAAAAACTAGCTGGGCATGGTGGCACATGCCTGTAGTCCCAGCTACTCTGGAGGCTGAGGCAGAAGGATCACCTGAGCCCAGGAGATTGAGGTTGCTGTGAGCTAGGATGACGCCACGGCACTCACTCTAGCCGGGGCAACAAAGTGAGACTCTGTCTCAAAAAAATAATAATAATAATAATAATCAGAACATAAAAATATAAATATGGTACCCAGATACAAATATAAAAATAGAATATTTTTAAAGATGGAAGTAGTATCTAAAAAATATAAGCTACCTCTCCAGAGCAATTAATGACTCAGAAAAAAATGTGAATTTATTTATTAATGAATGAATGAATGGGACTGGGTCTTATCCCATCACCCAGGAGGCTGCAATACAGTGGCGTCATCATAGCACACTGCAACCTCAAGCTCCTGGGCTCAAGAGATCCTCCTGCTTCAGCCTCCCAAGTAACTGAGAATACAGGCAAAGGCTACCATACCCAGCTAATTTTTTTTATATTTTTGTAGAGATGGGGTCTCACTATATTGCTCAGGCTGGTCTCAAACTCCTGGCCTCAAGTGTTCCTCTCACCTCAGCCTACCAAAGTGCTAGGATTATAGGCATGTGAGCCACCACACCTGGCCTATGTTTGTTTTCTAATTAAAAAAACTGAAGGAAAACAATTCCTCAGACTTACAAGATATGAGCCTATATGAAGTACTAATAAAATTAGCCAGAAATATAGCTATAAAAAGTTATACTTATCAAAACCTTACCTGAAGTTCTTTTTTAGGTTAATAACATGTTTTGGTCTTTCTATAATTTCTTATGCTATAGAAATGCCAAGGATTTAATTTTACTAAATTATGTAATATATAATTTACATAATTTTAAAATTTAATTTTACTAAATTATGTAATATGACTTTTACTATTATTTTGAAATGTGGTACAATTTTACAAGTAGATTGTTAGCAGCAGAATAGGAAAAACTACAGCAGGGTTCAGAGGCTATACAATGGAGTAGAATAAATATGGGCTTTGGAACCACTTAGGACTAAGTTTAAGGCAATTTAACCTCTCTGATCTCTTCTTCATCTAAAACGGGGATATGACACAGGGCTCTTGTAAATGATTAAATAAAATAATGTATGTAGAGCACCTAAACTAGTAATATGAATAAAATATAAACTCAGTGGAAATGTAATAGTGACAACATAGACAAGAGCTTTGAAATAGACAAATCTAAGTTCAAATCCTACCTTAGTTCCTCACTAGCTGTGTGACATTGGGCAGAGGATTAAGCTCTTGGTCTCTGGTTCCTCATCCATAAAATACTACTTCATATATTGGGGAGCTCATTATGAGACTATAAATAATATGTATATGTTTGAGACAACTTGTTTCCTAGCCCATATCCATTTTCCCTTTTTTCCTTCCTAACAGAATTCCTATACTAGTGAGGGCAGCAAGGACCCTAGTTAAAATCCACATTTTTCAAAGTCTCCCTGGCTGCTAGAGGTATTCAAGGAGATATAATATAAGCAGCAGAAAACTTATACTTCTAGGAAAATTCTCAGTTCAGAGGTATTCCCTCTTTGTCTGCTTCTATCTTTCCTCCTCCTTCCTGCCTAGAATGCAGTCAGGATGGCTAGAGCTCCAGCAGTTATTTTGGACCATGAGGCAACCCATGGAAACAGAAGCCATGGTGTAAGGGTTGTGGAGCAGAAAGACAGAAAAAACCTGGGTCCTTGAATGGCTTTGGAGCTACTGTGCCAGCCCTATTTCTGGAATTCCCAAAGTGCAAGAAAAAAATAAACCTTTATCTTATTTAAGCCACTATTATTTGGATTTACTGTTATGTGTGAGTAAACCAAATCCCAATATAATTTTTGTGCCATACCTAATGCAATGCCTGTCACGTAAAATGGGGTTCAACAAATGGTAGCTATAATTATTTTCCCCCAGTTCCAGCTCTTAATAGTTACTCAAGTAACCTCTGTGTTTCAATTTTTTCATCTATGGTGATAATATTTACTATGTCTATACAACTAGATTATTATGGAGATCTAATAAATTTCTCCATAATTATACAGTATTAGTATTAATAACCCATCATAAACCCGTCCCTCCTAGGCGAATTAGTGATCACCACTTATTTTAGGGAAAGACATTTAGTAAACTGACAAATATCAATCAAGCACCATCATCATCAGTGTTCTTACAGTAACACTATCATTGGATAGTGGATAAAACATGTTGGATAGTGGATAGAACATTGGATAGAACATGTTTTCATTTTCTTTGTGTCAGTTGTAGAAACAAGACTCAAAATAGGAGACCCTTTGCCATACCCAAAAGTGGAAAGGTCTCTGGCCACACATAAAGGATTAAAAACCACAGTTAAAATCACAGCCACAGTCTTGCTGTACTTTCACAATGACACTCTGCCATGCTACCCCTTAGATGAACTAAAAAACAAAGAAGATACTGCCCCCAGAACACATTTTAGACAAACACACATCTCTCCCTTCTCATACTGTTTCCAGCAAAACACTCTCATTGGCTGGAAGTTTTTAGAAGGCTCCACAGGGAGGCTTGTGGAACCTAAGTTACTTTTCCTTCTGATTTGGGTTTTGTACGAAGGCTGTCCAGAAAGTATCCAGCCATGAAATATGAAAAATAGGGACATTGATTGAAGAAGACACAAATTACAAGAAACATTGTACATAGGACAATGAAGCCTCATTCCCCTTCAAAGCAGGCACACTGGGACTTTCACACAGTTGTCCCAGCATGTCTTAACCTAACCTGTACACATTCAATATTCTCAGGTGTTCTGCTTATTGCAGGCCTTCCAGAATGTGGATCAATTTCAACAGATTCTCAGCCATCTTTGAAGCATTTGTGCCACGCTTTTATTTGCGCTGCACTTGTTGCATCATCCCCGAAAGCCTTCTGAATCATCCAAACAGTTTTTGCAGAGGAATGTTCAAGCTTAATGCAAAATTTGAAGCAGATTTGTCGCTCTACTTGCTCAGTAATTTTGCATACGGCGTCCACACAGTATACACGCTCACTCAATGGCGTCTAGCACCCCACTGACTAATACAGTGAAGTTGTCATTGTTCACACATGCGCATTCTAGTCCACTCGCCTTGGTTGCCAGATTACATTGATGTCAAGCAAACCATTCTCATTATATTAATAATAGCTAGATACTTTCTGGACAGCCCTCGTTTGCTATCTTCCAAAAAGACTAAATACAAGAGATTCCTACTCATAATTACTAGAAAATTAACATAAGTAAAATATGGCAATATTTTTTTATATTTAATTTACCACAATAGTATGGCCCTCACATTATAATCACAACTGGTAAGGTTGTTCAGAGATGAAAGCAGGCATATTTAGTTGATACCTATACACGAAGTACACTGACACATACCCTAGGATTATTCAATAAGTAACTGTTGACTGGCTAATAAAAATCAAAGCAAAAGCATCCTCATTAAATTACAGACATTTTCACAGCAATGCAAACATGCTTCTACAGCGATGAAATCTGGTTCAAATCTCATATGTGTTTTCAGAGGCATTAACTTTGATGAGTGCAACTCAAATGGCTCCAAGAAGCCTTACCTGCCATGGTGTACAGATGCGGTAGTGTTTGCACTGATTGGTGCAGGGCAAGAAGAGGCAGGTTGCCACTGGGTGCCCTGAGAGGTAGATGAACCAATGGTAATGGGTGAGGTAGCAGGAGATGAATTGCGATTGGCTGAAATGTAGGGACTTGTGGGGTCACTACTTCTACCAAATGAAGCACTGCAAAATAGCACACAGTCACTTTCTTCAGGACATGCTGCTCACTCACCATTTCCCAGCACCACCTTCCCACCCAGATTGTGCACTTAAAAGGAATGCAGACCAAAGAGAGGGTATGACCACTGAGAAGCGGAGTGATCAACTCCAGCTAGAGCTGGGTCACTGGCAGCAAGCAGGCAATCATCCGCAAGAGTGAAGGAATCATCACTCTTTGAAGGATGATCTTTTGGTCAATCATCCAAAAGAATGAAGGAATGTGAAGGAACAGAGATGATATTTAACAAGAAAAAGCAGGAAAGTAGAATATATGACAAGAGTAGAGGCTAAGAAAGGGAAATAATAAGCAACAGAATAATTTCATTTGAAAAAATAATTCCCAACAAATCCAAGGCAAAAATCATGCAATCCCACATGTCTACCTGACATAGAAATAGCACTGCAAAAGCTAAAGACCAGAGAATTTGGAGAGGTTTTGGAGCAGAGATTTAAAATTTTAAAGTAGAGAAGAGTAAAGAAGCTATGTTAAAAAATGATTTTGAGAACTGCATTTATTTAGCCCAAAGCAAAAATGCCTTTGGGAGGATTTAAAGTTTTAAGTCTAGAAAGTGATCCTGTATGAGCAATAAAAGGCAACTTTTCTTTGTTTTAATTGAAAACAGGTAAGAACTATCTCAATTGTAGCAAAAAATTCTTTGGATTAAAATTTTAAAAATACTTCTTGACTATAAGAATAATGAGATACTTGAGGGGGGTGATCAAAACAAAAGCTATGAAGCCTTCTTTGGAAAATAAGCATTTTCCAAAGGCCACGTGAAAGAAATTTCTGCCAAAAGACATGAGATGAACTAGAAAATGGAAAGTAAACCCAGGTTTGGCACAGCCAGGGAATGACAAATTTTTCTTCAGACTTTCTCTTTTAAATGGTGATGGCATATGATTCTTTCCTCTTGAAAACATCAGAAGATAGAATTTCATAAAATCATAAAGTGCTTTAGGGTTACAGAAGAAAAGCTTTGGAAATCCAAGGTATGAAGCAAGTGGTAGATCCTTTCTCAAAAAGTGCCCACGTCATTAAGCATGCTTTCCACCCTAAATAGAGGCAGTGCTTCCCTCCTTTGTTCACCATAACTTTGCCAAACTACATCTATTAAACCAAATGTTTTTCATCCCATTTGCTGATGATTTGGATCATGAAAATCAACAAATTGACCGCAAAATAACTCCCTGCCTGGAAATTAAATGTCAGCTTTCTCTCTTTCCTAGATCTAGAACATCATTTTCTTAGAAAAGTTTTCTTGTTCTTGGATTCAACCATAACGAGTAATGTACCTAGGTAGACCAAGGCCTTAGTCATTAAAACAAACAAGCCATAGCCTCATAAAGCCAAAAACACCTAGTTTATATAATAAAGAGTCAGTGAGATCCCTGAACTCTACTTGTATACTTTCAAAGGTGGGCCCTTTCTTATAGGATGTATCTGCGGAACTAAAGAACATTAAAAGACAACAGTGGCTGTTTGCTCTATAGCTTACTACTTCCCATGTTCCAACATTAGCTAGTTGACAAGTCCTCCTGTCAAGTGGAAATAAGTTTTGATCCCAAAGAGTTAATCTGCTCATACAGTCTATGGCCAAGGCCTGTTTCTAAGGTAACCCACAAATCATCTAAAAAAACCTAATGATGAAGGCTGTGGTGTGAGGAGGCAATTGGAGGGGTTAAATGGAAGTGAAGAAAGAATTCAAAGTAAGCAATGAAAAACAGATTCTTTCACATCAGCAGCAAAGTTCAAATTAAAATATTAATTAAGTGTATTTTATAGCATAATGGCTCTGGCAAAGGTGCTTTGTTTGCTGGCTAGTACTTGACAAAGAAAATAATTGCAGAAAAGGGAATATAGATGAGAAAAGAGGAAGGAAACTCATGTACCTTCTCTGCACCAAACTTGCGAGTTTCACATCTTGATGGATCTGAGGGCCATTAAAGTCATAAAAAAAAAAAACAACTCAAGTCCCTAAATTAACAGGCTTCAATATGAAACTTCTTTAATGCAATAGAAAACTCCCCATTTCCCTCCCCTCACCACCCTAAAATGTCCCCCGCCTTCCTCCCCACAAAATATAACTTGAGATGAGAACTGCTCTAGTTTTAGGAAAAGGAGAACCAGTTACTGGACAAGGATGATTTAAATTCAGTCTTGCCCAGAGATTGCTGAAAGTCACTTCTCATTGAAGATTTTAATAGGACTGAGAGAATGGAGTATAAAGCCAGATCTGTAGTGAGAATTTGGAATTAGCTTACTTTAATTCAGTTATTAAGAAAATTAATTAATTTTAATTTTAAATTAGTCAAGAAGTTAGTTCCAAGAAATCTAAAAGTAATTTATCCTTTGATTCATTTTTGTGATGCTAATTAGATATTAAAAAGCATGCAATTATTACCCATATTCCCATGGCCAGAGTGAATGAAAATCATCTCCCACCCCTTTGAGCCTGGTACCTTTTCAAGTAGGTTGATACATAGGTGGAAGGAGCAATTGTCTGCGGGGTTTCACTTCCCTTTGCTTCATCCCTCCATAGCTGCCGGGTATAGGAGCCACTCCTCACTAGGTTAACAGCTGATTCTCTGCAGAGGCATGAAAGGAAAACAAAACACTGATTCTTACCTCTAGTTTCTGTCCATCAAACAATGCAAACAGGGAGAGAAGAGCCAGACAGACAAATCGTAACATGGTTAAAGAAATGGACACATTTTTCAGGTGATTCTTTGTTTTATATATCTATTTTCTGTACAGATGGTATCACCGTCTGCTTTCTTTTATCAGCCCCAAAGCCAACTAAACAGGTACCAAATTCTTCATGTCAAAGGTCTCTAACCTTTTTGTAATGAGAAATCACTTCTGTTCCTCATTTAAAAAATGCCTTGCAATCACTCCCCAGTAGTAGGTGGTTCATAAGTTAAGCAGAGTAGTGAGTGGTGAGGAAAATGGACAAGTCTACTACCCAGAGATTACCTGGGAAAGGGGTTACTACCGAAGGAGAAAGGGGAGAAAGACTTGCGAGAAGCCTCTTTAACATTATAAATGAAAAAACATCCAGGAAGGGGCTGTATCCACAATTGATAACTCAGGGTCTTTGCTACAAAAGCTATGGGTCTCCATACTTCACAAGGTTCTCTAGAGCAGTCCTTCTCAATCTCTAACATGTATTTGAATAACTTAGGGAATTTTGGTAAAATGCAGGTTCTACCTCAGCAGGTCTGGAGTGGGGCCTGAAATTCTGTAGTTCTAACATGCTTCCAGGTGATGACAACACTGCTGGTTGGAGGACCACAATTTGAGAAGAAAAGTTCTAAATCAGATTCTTCCCTGAGATCCAGCAATACTTCAAAATCTCTATATTCATTAGGAAGACTTTAATTTTACCTATTTACAAACTAGAAGTTGCACAATTCAATTAAATAACATTATTTTTAGTTTACTATGTGCACTGTGCTAGGAGTAGGGTCCAGATAGACATAGACCCTACCTTTACAGAGCCTGCTGGTGGCCTAAATCAATCCATGCTCAGAAGGTCAGGGAAGACTTTCTACAGACAGTAAGCTCTAAGCTGGAGTTGGAATTTAAAGGGTGAAGAACTGGCAAAAGCAAGAGTGTAAGGGCTGAGAGGTGTTCTAAGCAGAAGAAACAAACAATTCATAATGTGCAAAGGACATCTGTGAAAAAAAATGCAGAGCAGTAATGGCCAGATGATTACACCACTAAAGATTACACCACACAGCTAACGATGACTATCTTTTGGCCTCTATTAAGATTACCTGTTCTCCTTTTCTTCACTGTCACTTGTGTTGCTGAGTCTCCGAGGTGCTAGTGAACTAAAATAGCTTTTGTTTTCTCTCTCCTGTAAAATAAAAACAAGCAAAGCACAAGAAAGGTACAATATGGACATAGTGTAAAACATTTTGGGTAAAAAAAAACCTTAATATAACCTATATAATCTTATTTCTGGATTCCACATCAATTTCATTTTGAGCGGTATTATAAAAGGTATTATAAAAGCTTTCAAAAGCTTATTCCTAACTTTCCTCCATTAAAAATCAGTATGTAGGGGGAAAATTCTCATGAGAAAAGTCAGGATGATCAAATAAAGAAAACAGCAGCACAAATCACATAAAGCAGCAGCTCTGCCAAGACAGAGGGGGAGGCTTTGAAAAGCCACAAACAGAAAGCTCCACTCTAATGTTCTTCATGAAATAAGCCTTATATAGTCACCAGCATATCTTTTCCTTGAAATGCAGCTTTCTTAGGGACATGCAGAATACATATCCAACCAATACCCTCAGCTCTCTGAGTAGTCTCCAGAAATGCAATATAAAGCAAGAGGACTGGGCTGGGTGTGGTGGTTCATGCCTGTAATCTTAGCACTCTGGGAGACTGAGGCAGGTGGATCACTCAAGGTCAGGAGTTTAAAACCAGCCTGAGCAAGAGTGAGACCCTGTCTCTACTAAAAATAGAAAGAAAGTAATTGGCCAACTAAAAATAGAGAGAGAAAAAATTAGCTGGGCATGGTGGTGCATGCCTATAGTCCCAGCTATTCGGGAGGCTGAGACAGAAGGATTGCTTGAGCCCAGGAGTTTGAGGTTGCTGTGAGCTAAGCTGATGCCATGGCACTCTAACCCGGGCAACACAGTGAGACTCTGTCTCAAAAAAAATAAAAACAAATAAATAAATAAAACAAGAGGACTATGATTACAAGAAACACCTGACTCCAGAGAAAAGCACCAAGTGAACCCTATACAATCTGGAGCCCCAAGTGAATAAAAATTTATTCATCTTAGATGAATATACAGATGAACTGCTTGTAAAGTTAGCCTGATCATACTTCCAAATTAATTAAAAAGGACAAGCTAAAAAATTTTTTTCTAAGTGCTAATTTGCCTGAGTTTTATCAAGATTCAAAGTCCAGCTAAGGAACTTTGCTTTTAGAAGTTTCTGATATTGGTTCATAGAATCTTTTAGGTCATATCCAAACTTTCATGGTTCTGATTCATTTTATGCTGTAGGTAAATGGGTAAGGAAGGAATGAATGTAAAGGTAAGTCAAAAGGAAAAGCTATTCTTAAAACTTTTCTTTTATGGCCAAGTAAATAATAGCAAGCAAATAGCTACTTGATTAAACTATCAATGTGCCTGTTTCCCTTTAAAGGTAAGTACTTCCAGAATCAACTTAGGAAATATTTTCATTTGTCCCCGAGGTTGAATTTTCATGGAAGAAAAACTGCCTTGGGATTCCTCCACACCCTGCCCAGACTGCACCTTATCTTTGTTGTCCAGCAGAGCAGAAATCCGAGGGCTGGACGAGGAGCGGTAGATGGAAGAGCCTCGGTCCCTCAGAGCTTCCCTGGAATTGGCCACCTCACTCAGCATGTTGTGGCTGCCAGTTTTTCTGAGTCCCAATCTCCACGAAGAAGGAGATTCATCTTTGGGCTCTTCTGACTTGTTAAAAAGGCTGGAGGAGAACTACGAAGGAAGCAAAGTAAAGAAAAGGAAACGTCCTGATGATTCTTTTCTCAGCTTATTTGCCTTTTCCACACTTAACTAAGTTCAGTGAGGCGACATAAGGCAGTACAAGAAGAATAAATACATGGCAGGCTGTCTGCCAATGTTCCTTCCTCACCTGGCAAACGCTAATAACCTCTCGAGGCTCTTTCTCCCTAAGACAGAAATAGCCTCAGATTCTTAACACAGTGCTCCTACCTGACAGAGTTGCTCTGAGAAATTAAACACCATTTGTTCTCCCTGTGCAATTAGTACTGACCTAGAACATCAGGAGACTGTGTTCTAGTAATACATCTTTTGACTCACTGTGTAACTGACAATAAGATACTTCACTTAAGTTTCAACATGCTCCTCTGTAAAATGGTGATAATGAGCTTAATTCCTCCTTGTAATACGTGAAAAGTGGAGAAAACAAGATGAGCTAATATATAAATATGCTGTAAGGTACTGTGACAAGCTGATTTAAGTTAATACCAATAAAAATAATAGAAGATACTCCACTCAAATTCTAATTGCTACTTTCAAGAAAATGTATTTGATCAGGGCAGCAGTTCCAAGAGTTTTAGATTTCACTGGCCAGCAAAATAAAAAAATAAAAAAAATTAGAGGTCAAAGTGTTGTCATCTTGTTTATTTTGCCAATAGTGACCACAAGATGGTCTTCTTTATTTTGCCAAAAGATGGTCTCTTTTTGAACAACCCATTATCACCATCATTTCATTAAAAAAAGAAACTTTAGGGGCCAGACACAGTGGCTTATGCCTATAATCCCAGCACTCATCACTTGAGACCAGGAGTTTGAAACCAGCCTGGGCAATACAGCAAGATCCCCTCTCTATAGAAAATTTAAAAAATAGCCAGGTTTTATGGCATACACCTATAGTCCTAGCTACTCAGGAGGTTGAGGCAGGAGGATTGCTGAGCCCAGCAGTTTGAGACTGCAATGAGTTATGATCACACCACTGCCCTCAAGCCTGGGCAACAGAGTGAGACGCTGTTTCTCACAAAAGAAAGCTTTATGGAAAGCTTACATTGTCTTTAATTATCTCATTTGCCATAAACCAGGAAAACATCACAGATTAGCATTAGCCCAAAGACTAGTTTGGGGTACAACCAGTCTTTGGAACACAAGCCAACAGCCCCTTTCTGAGGTCTGGGGATCTTTGCAAGAAGGCTTGGATCTTTTTCCCAATATCAGGCCACCTTTATCACTGCCTGATATAGTGAAAATCAATAAAAAAATTAAATCACTCATCTCACCTCACACTCAGATTTTCTCCTTTCATCAGTTATCTGAATATACACATTTATGTATTCCTTCTAGCTTTGGAGGCTCAATCATGTCTGCTTTTTATAAGCTACCATGATTCTAAGGAGAAAAAATGCCTTTTCTAGCATTATTGTAGCAAAGTGGAATAAGTAAATATATGTGCTTACATTTTTTTTTAATTTAGTATTTTTTCTTTCAAAAAAGTCGAAAGTCTAGTCATCCCAGAAGCAGTGGCAGTATATGAGGTATAAATAAATGACTGGATAATGAGTGAGGACTACATTCTATTTAAACTTCTTTTTTTTTTTTTTTTTTTTTTGAGACAGAGTCTCGCTTGTTGCCCAGGCTAGAGTGAGTGCCGTGGCGTCAGCCTAGCTCACAGCAACCTCAAGCTCCTGGGCTCAAGCAATCCTGCTGCCTCAGCCTCCCGAGTAGCTGGGACTACAGGCATGCACCACCATGCCCGGCTAATTTTATATATATATACATTAGTTGGCCAATTAATTTCTTTCTATTTATAGTAGAGACGGGGTCTCGCTCAGGCTGGTTTCGAACTCCTGACCTCGAGCAATCCGCCCGCCTCAGCCTCCCAGAGTGCTAGGATTACAGGCGTGAGCCACCGCGCCCGGCTTATTTAAACTTCTTTAATGATTCACAATGATGATTCTAGGCATGAATAAGTAGCAAGGCCTATGTTCTCTCATTTCCACAAGGACACCATAAGACCATCTCTCCAATTCATGAGGTGCTAAGAAAATCAATAAGTTAATATCTGTAAAACCACAGAGTTTTTTCAACAGCTTCTTTCCAAAGAACTCAGATCAATTATTAACCTAAAAACTAATTTGATGCTTCGTAGAGGATGGCCATTATTCAACTCTGTCTCACTGACTGGAAGCCTATAGATTCTCAGAGGCTTGCACAAAGTTACAAAGGGAGGTGCCTCTGGTATTGCAACACACTCTTTCATCTCTACTCTCTACCTTTCATAACGGCTTTACTCATGAATGATTTTAAAGGAGAAATAGGAAAAGAAGAATAACATCAAAACAATTAATGCTGGGTGCTAGATCTTCCTAGCCCAGTCCAAACTTTGCATATAGCTATCTTCAGATAAAAAAAAAAAAGGCAAATGACAAAATTTCTTTGGTCCCAGTCCACTCTACCCTATTATCTTAACACAGCACAGCCAAATTTGGTGATAGTTTTATAGGTTTTTTTGGGGGGCAATGTTATGGACTGAATGTTTGCGTCTTCCCCAGATTTCTATATTTAAACCCTAATCCCCAGTGTAACTGTATTTGGAGATAGGGCCTGTGAGGAAGAGATAATGGTTAAATGAAGGCAAAAGAGTGGGGATCGAATCCAATGGGGCTGGCTCCCTTATAAGAAGAGTAAGAGACACCAGAGCTAGCACACGCTTTCTCTCTCTCTCTCTGCCATGTTAGGATATAGCGAGAAGGCAGCCATCTTCAAGCCAGGAAGAGAGCCCTCACCAAGAACTGAATCAGCCAGTACTTTGATCTGGGACTTCCCAACCTCCAGACCTGTGAGAAATACATTTCTGTTGTTTAAGCCACAGTCTGTGGTATTTTGTTATGGGAGCAGATTATGACACACAAGAATGTATCATTATTGTTTTGCAAGAATGTATCTTTAAGGCCTTTCTAAGTGTGTATTATTGCAGTAGGTTGAAATAAGATACCCGAATTAATTCCAAAATACTCACTCTCCTAGCAGAAGAGGCAGAGAAGGTATTCTGAGCTGGTGGTGGTATCTGCTCCGTGACAATACTCTTATTTTCAGAGTTGGAATGGTTGACAATGGCTTCTGGCTTTTTATCTGTTATTAAAGACAAGAGAAGCAACGAATGCAAGTAAGAAAATCTTATCTTTGTGCGTATGTTTTTTTCTGCTAATAGGTTTGTCCATTATCAAAACAGATTATCAGGGCCAACTGAATACTTGGACTTAAACTAAGATGAAATCTCTGGCAACTATTGGTAGAAGAAGATAAACTCTACGGTACTCCCATCTTGGTAGGCTCCAACTCCAATATTCACACAAAAATGGAAAACTGAAAACTATTTCTACATGATTAGTTATCTCATGCATAAAATCAATCCACAGGCAGACTTAGTCCAGAGCTTGGTAGGCAGCTTTGTTTTTCTCTCATTTTAGACTGGAGGCCTCTGCTGCAATCGTGCTTTGCCACATCCTTGGCCAGCCCAAGAAACATCTCAGCTTGATCCCCCTCTTCGTATTTATTGGACATACAGTGCAGACACTGCACGTCTTGTGACTGGCATTGCTCAATCCAGATGTTAGTTGGGATAGAAAGAATAACCCAGAAACCTGAAACAAACTGGGTCCCAATGATCTACTCAGTGAATGTGGATTATAGCAAACTAAAGAAAGAAGGTCCAGACTTCGAAACCAAATGTTTCACTATAAAGCTACTTAGAATGAAGGTCTTCCAGAAGCCAGCTGTACAATTTTCCACTTAATCAGGAAATATTTCTTCTCTAAATGCATAAGATTAATGCATTAATTGATTCATACACTAATATTGATGATTAATTGATTAATCACTGATTAATAAATATCTGAAACTTAGAAAAAAATCCATTTACAATCTCTCCCTTGGAGATCTTGTCCTTTTCCACAGTTTTATCTTTCATTTCTTTTTTTTTTGAGATAGAGTCTTACTTTGTTGCCCAGGCTAGGGTGAGTGCCATGGCATCAGCCTAGCTCACAGCAACTTCAAACTCCTGGGCTCAAGCAATCCTCTTGCCTCAGCCTCCCAAGTAGCTGGGACTACAGGCATGCGCCACCATGCCCGGCTAATTTTTTCTATATATATTAGTTGGCCAATTAATTTCTTTCTACTTATAGTAGAAATGGGGTCTCACTCTTGCTCAGGCTGGTTTCGAACTCCTGACCTCGAGCAATCCACCCGCCTCGGCCTCCCAGAGTGCTAGGATTACAGGCATGAGCCACTGCGCCCAGCCTATCTTTCATTTCTTATGCAGATAATTTTTGCTGGATTCCTACTACTCTGAGGAGTCCCAGATTAAAGTCAGGATCTCAGGCATGTCACTTGTTAGCTATGAAACCTAATTTACCTAACCTCCTACAGTGTCAATTTCCCATTCTAAATAGTGGTGATAATAACATATACCTCGGAGTGTAGTTGTAAGGATTAAATAAAAACGTCTAAGTGTGTTGCAAAGTAAAAAGCACTACAAATGTAAAGTTTTATTATAACTCCCTACCCAGTTATAATCTTTCTTACTAGTGAATACTATTGACTGTACTTACATATCTCATGTGACATGTATTTTATTCATGCATAAATGTCTTTCTATTCCCCTACTAGGCATATTCAACGAAAAACATCTAATGAATGTGAATACCTGTCATGTACCAGGCACTGTGCTGAGACCTGGAAGTATGATGATAAACTCAGAGTTCTCGGCCAAAATGATGAGTGCTACAGCAGTGGTAGGTATGCAGTGCTACGGGTATGCAGTGCTACGGGTATGCAGTGCTAGTGGGTATGCAGTGCTACGGGTATGCAGTGCTACGGGTATGCAGTGCTACGGGTATGCAGTGCTAGTGGGTATGCAGTGCTAGTGGGTATGCAGTGCTACGGGTATGCAGTGCTACGGGTATGCAGTGCTAGTGGGTATGCAGTGCTAGTGGGTATGCAGTGCTAGCGGGTATGCAGTGCTAGAGGGACATAATAGGGAGTAATCATCATGGGGTGGAAGAACAGTGAAGTGGTCATTCCTTTTCACATACCACAAAAACCTAAAGAAAGACTTTTTCAATCTGCTAGATCCCATAGCTTCTAACAGAGATCAGTCAAAAAGCATTTGATGGCCTGAAATAAACTCTAAGGCACAAATAAATGTTCTGGGGCAGGAAAGGTCGGGGCATATTTGAGAAAATCAAACAGTTCAATTTGGCTAGAATATGTTTTTACCTATACATAGCATTGGAATAGTCAGCTGGAGCTAGATTATGAAAGGTGTTGAAGGCCATGTATAGCATTTGGGATTTACTCTGCAGACAAAGATGGAGTGAGAAGTGTGAACATAGAAGATTTTTTAACAGAGATGTAGCATGATCAAGAAAGCGCTGTCGGTGTTTTATTACAGCAGCAATGTGAAGATGGGATGTAGGAAACAAGAGGCCTGAGGCAGAGGTACAAATCACAAATGACAGTTCAGGCAGCTCCCGCACATTTTTCTAATATCTTATTAGCTAACAAAAGTGATCTAGCATAGATCAACCCCTGATATTAATTCTAGATAATACTTGAACCCTAGAACATGTAAGTACTCAATAAATAATATAAATATCATAAAGATGTACATTTATAAATTTTGATAGGTACTATAATAGCATTCTCAAAGCAAACTGTGCCTGATTAATAACGGAAATTCAAGTCTCAATGAATAAAAAGTCATCTCCTATTCTGCAAACTTAGCTGGTGCTGTCTTCTCTATAGAAATTGATAGCCTCTAATTTCCTTTGGTGACATTCAATGAGCCTCAAAGATTGAAACATGAAGAAGAACAGTATTCTCCCATAATTGAGAGAAATCATGTCAGCAAAGCCAGACCTCATCAGGAGCTGGGGCCCAGACAACAGAGTGAGTTAAATATCTTCATTATGGGTAGGCCAGCTATGGCAGAGTTCAGAGGAAAACACAGACTCCATTATAAACTTAATGTGTGACCCTTTCCTCTCTAAATTCATCTTCTAGTGGAAATATTTCATCTTATCATGGACTCAAATTTGGAGGGATAATATGCCAGTGAATGTGAGGTATGTGCACCATAAAATCTTAGTTTATCACTAATTTCCAATCATCTATGAGAACTGTTCTATTGCAGTTGAACCTCTACACAGTAAAAACCAGTGTCTCTTTTCTCAGTGTTTGCTTGACTATAAATTAAAACCTATAGGTTATCTTATAGCTTGTTGGTGTGACCATGTTGAACACCTCACTCTCACTAGTGCTGTTCCTGTTTTGTCAAATAATAAACTTAAGTAGCTCCATGTTTATGTTATCAATAATAGTCATAAAGGTAAATATGGTTTCGTTCCTTCCTCAATCCCCTACTCAGAAACTGAAGGAGCTTCACATAATAAGGGGGAAAAAAAATTTTTGGATTCTGTTTAGGGAAACAGACAAATCTGAGAACTAAATTTTCACTAGTTGGTTTAAAGCATTTGACTGTAAGAGCCTCTGCAAGATTTCACCTTCCCTGCCCCTCAGCTCACTGACTTTTTGGAATCTGGTCTCTATGCCAGCTCCCAACCTGAGGTCAGGACAATCAGCTCCCTCACGTAAGAATTTTTAATGCATCTTATCATATGGCTACATAGAAATTGGTAGATATATTCTAACGTAGCTCACAGCTTTTACAACCAAGTCATCACTAGTAATTTGATATCTCATTCTTGAAAACTAAACTTCAATCTCTTTTTGGAGCCCTCTGAGGCCTGGCTAGCTCTCTGACATGCAGTAATCTCCTCACATTATAGAAATGGAGTATCTTTGGGATGAACCTCTTTGCATTACCTGCCTCCTTCTCAGTTTCTGACTCAGAAGCTTCATCTTCACCTTCTTCCTCCTCTGAACTGGAGCTGCTGGATTCTTTGTTTTCCTCCTCTATTTCTTGAGACTTCGGTGTCTCCTCCTCATAAAGCATCTTCTCCTTGCTAAATTAAAGATGACAATCTGAGTGTAATTCAGAAGTGACAAACCATTTAAGTTCACTGACAATCAGGTATAATAAGGGGAGCAGGTCTATAAATCTATATGCAGAAGCAATAATAGAAACATATTCAAATTGAGAGAAATCATGTCAGCAAAGCCAGACCTCATCAGGAGCTGGGGCCCAGACAACAGAGTGAGTTAAATATCTTCATTATGGGTAGGGCAGCTATGGCAGAGTTCAGAGGAAAACACAGACTCCTTTACTTTTACATCTATGTGTTCTGAACCCTTGGTTTTTGCAGATTAAGGTTTAATATATGATGTTAGAGAATGATTTAAGGAGATCTGGTCTGTTTAACATAGAGAAAAAAGGACAGCTATAAATTTTGATGATGGGGCAGATGAATATCCAAAAAAATCATTTAACAAATGTTTACTGAGTACTTATTACATGCCAGGAATCATGCTAGGCATTGGTAAGCAAAACAGACATGATCCCTGAGCTTCCAGTATGGTAAAAGGAGTTGGGACTAAGAAGCCCTCAGCTAGGATTTCAAAAAATGTTGCACACAGTCCCAATTAATTTCTAAGTTTATAACATGTTCACCGATCTTCAGTGTCTCCCTCACGTATCAATGCCAGCTCCTTGCCCAGCAAACTTTCCCACATCTTTACAGATCATTTGGCTAAAGTCAAATACAGAGTTTCTTCACTGTATAAATTGTGAAGTTAAGTATGTCACTCATACACAGCAAAGCTCATCCCATTCCTTAAGCCTCAGTATCTTACTTCTTAAAGAGTCCACTGTGCAATTTGCTGTTCAGGTCTGACTCAATGAGTTTATTCCGTGTTTCCTTTTCGCTTCGCAGCTGGAAATTGAGAAAATAGGGGGAAAAGGGGGAAGAAGTTTACTGTTGATGAAAAATCAGCAGAGGAACCAAAATCATACCGTCATTTTGAAGAAAGGACCAACACCAAAGAGGTAGAGGGGGCGAACAGAAAAAAAGAGAAATACATCAGTTGGATCTCCTTGGAAGATAATGACAGAGGAAAACCCTCATCCAAGGCAGAAGAGAAAAAACCATAGTGTTAGACCTTCAATAAAACTGCCGCTATCAAATATCCAAACCCAACCTTCAAAAAAATGCCGAGCTTCTAAGGGATAGAAAGCCAGAAGGAACTTGAAAGAATTTTTTTTGGATCCACATACTGAAATCAGTTGGCAACAGTTCTAAAGAGAACATAGGTACCAAGTGGGAAATAAGCCCTTAAAGAAAATAGTCTGGGACAAAATGTATTTTGCTCTAAACAAAATGTATTTATATCCCTGGAACCCAAAGTTATGCAAGGGGCAAAGATAAGTACCATTCCTGTTAGTGTAGAAAGTTATATAGTGAATACTATTATTTATGTTCAAAAACCTAACTATGCTAGGTAAAAGGTACATTGGAATGCTCTATACTATTTTAGCAACTTCTATGGCAGTTCAGAATAAAAACTTTTAAAAACTACAATAACTATGTAGAATATACGTCTTGTATTAGGCAGGCTATTGCTGCTAAATAACAGCAGCAATAACCTGCCTAATAGCCTGTATTTGGAAAATCCTAGCTTTTAGTGATCCTGATTGCTCAATAAAGAAAACAAAATGGACTAGAAATTGCGTTTGTCTGAGTTTTATGTAAGTGACTTTCCCACTGAGCCTTAAAATAATCAGAATCTTCATTTTACCAGTCCAGGCATGATGCTGAATACACCTGAGGTTAGTTATGGTTGCTCTGTCCTATCACTGAGCTATATAGTTCTTTGATTCAGAACTACTGTTTCCTACATTTGTCCTAAATTAGAGTTCACACTACCTGAGTCACAGCACATACAAAGGAAAAAACAAAGAACAGCAGTGACTTTTTTCTATTCCATCCTAATGTCACTGATCTTTATTCTCCTCCCCCAAATTACTCATCCACTTTATGGGTAGAAAATGTGACTTATTAATTCTTCATCTGTATGTTGGGTGGGTTTTCCATTCTGCAGGCTGTCCGTGAGCACCATGCTTATGTAGCTATTCTGTATAGCACTAAACTGAAAGGCACGTGTAACAAAACAATAAAAGATTTAAAATAAGGAGAGAAAAGAGGACTGAATTATGGATGTTTCACAGATCTGGAATAAGTATAAATCACTGACCAAGTACTGTCCAATATCAAGTGACAGTTTTAGGTTTGTGTGTGTGTGTTTGTTTGTTTTTTAAGAAAGAAATGCATTCCTTTCTGTAATCAATGTATACTGCTTTAAATAAGGACAGCCTTTTAGTCAATAAGGAAAAAAAAACTATGAGTTGTCCTCTACTCTGGTATTTCCTATTGGAAAAAACTCTGATATGAACATATCATGTGCATTTTCTAGAACTCAAGGGTAATTGTTAGTCTTTTGTTGTTTTTAACTTTCAGCTGCTTGAAGGCTATCTTATAATGAGTAAACTTTAACAACAATCGTTTCTGGGATATTTTCTTCTAACAGACTGCTTATAGTTCCTGAAGGGAACAATTAACATGTCTGGAATGTAGATACATCCATTTCAGCTCTCAGCAGACACAATTAAACAAGTCACTGAGATGTCTGTTGTGTTTGCAAACTAAGCTTTAAAAGTATCAACCAGAGGCTCACCACATTCTGCTTCTTCTGAAGCATCTCCAAGTGCTCCACAAGACCCTCATCAGCCACATCAAATGGTGTCTGGCCCTGGCAGAGAAAAGGAACACCATGACCGACAGAAAACAGAAGTAGCAATCATGGGACTTTATCAGGGAACTACTCAACATTCACTTTTTGCCTTTGATCCAATAATAGCTGCTTCCCTAACTAATCTACCCTTCATAAGATAACACCTTCATCTATCACAGAGGAAACATAACAAGAAACAGCAAATCCTTTAAATATAAAGTTTTATATTTTATAAAACAATATTGAGAAAATCACACCATTTCTAATCCTTATTGCCTTTCTGCAAAATAATCCAGTGAAATCCCTACCTGTACTTGTTCTAAAATGGTCTTAATTGCTATGATAAATTCAATAAGGGGCTCTTAAAAAACCTCAGAGGGAGGTCTAGAGCACATGTGCACTAAAGATTAAGCCACAGCAATCATCTCCCTTTAAGTGAGAGGAGGCCTGACAAGGAGGTTAATCTCTTTTAGGAAACATCAGCACAATTAAGGATCCAGACCCATAGTCTGAGAATGAAATCTGGGTTCAGGAAAAATGTGAGGCAGATAAAAACATCTACTAATTAAAAGGCCATGTCCCTGGATTCCTAAAAAATTAGTAGACACAGGGATAGGAATTCCAGAGTTTCTAAGTTGTTTGAAGTGAGGCTGAATAACGCTATTTTCAGCCAAACTCAAGAATACTAAAATCTTTCACACTTTACCACAAACAATGACTTTAGGCTCCTGCAAAGTTCATTTTCTGCCAAGAGCAAATATATTTTTTTCTTATTTGTTTTAGGGTCTTCAACATTAATAGAAGACTAGGTCAGCGAGTTTTATTTTACATGGACATGGTAAATATAGCTCTCTGTTTATAACAAGGGCAGGAGCAGAGAGGTGGAGGGCAATATCACAGCTACCAGCAATATATATTTCTCCAGAGCAGTCAGCCTGACCATTAAACAGAGATGCTAAACCTTTTATTTTAGGGACCCGGTTACCAATCTCATGGTCTTTTTAGAGGCTGAGGCTCACTAACCAGTTTGTTTCGGATATCCATGTCACAGAGCGCTTCTGCCAGGATGGAGCAAGCCTCTTTCACTCCCCAGTGTGCAGCAGCATGGAGGGGAGTCCAGCCGTCGTGATCCTGAACATTGAGTTCATAGCCAGCCTGAATTAACAGTCTAAGGAAAAAATCCCAAACAAGACATTTATCTCCTCTATATTACAGTTTTTTGCCAAATAAACTATTAGCTAATTGATATCTCAGGTTTGGGCCCTGAAACACATGATTACTTCTGCCCTCCAAGACACAGCTTGGGTTTCATAGTCACTACTTTGAGCACCAATCATAGATGATCTTCACCAGCCCTCTCCAAAAAGCCATATGGTATTTCTAAGGCACATCCCTGTTATACCATACAAACATGTATGGAAAAGTATGTTCCTGAGATTAACCAAAGCCTAATTCAATTAGCCAAATCACACAACTCTACTAAAGGTATGTTTTCCATTTCCCAGTGCAGGGAGGAAGTAACACATAAAAGGGGACACAGTTCTCTTCAGGGTACTGTACCAACTAGCTTTCTGGCTGGCCTTTCCAGGAAACCATATGTTTAGTATTGACTCTCATACCTCTAATTTCTTGCTAACTATAAAGCTATAATCTAACTTGTGTGCATGGAAAAGAAATGACTCCTGAAGCCCCAAACTGCATCAGGGCCCTATATTATGGGTCTCCAGACATCTTCCAAAGATTAAGCAGAGCATGGATGTTGCTCTTAGGCAGAAATAGAGTACCAAAACTGCCAAACCTACTTGAAACCCCATATTAGGTGGAACAGGAAGCACTGGAAGAGTCTGGCAACAGCTGTGCACTTAACGCCTTTAGAAACCCATGTATTTGGGAAAGCTGGTCAACATTCAGCACCAAGAGCTATATAAAGCATGTACGGATGTAAGAAAAAACGAAGCAGGTAGAATAGTAGAGTTCACATCTCTCACATAAATTTGACCATCATGTGCCAGCTGAACACTGCACACTCAAGATCTATATAATTAATCTAATGATCCCAAAGAAATGATCTAAGTTAAAAAGGACCAAATGATCACAAATATGTCCTGTACTACATGTCACAAGAGGAGGTGGTTGCAGGGATTTTAATGACAAATCATAGAACTGGAAGAGGTCTTGAAAGGTCACCTCCGAGGCCAGTATATCTCAACTCTGGTTCACATCATACATGTCAATGAGAAAGGGAGACGGATGGTCAGAGGTAGGGAGACCATCCATGGATGAATACCAGCAAAATGTGAGAAAAGACTGCATAATCAGAGAGGAAACCAACAAAAAAAGAAACATGCCATTAGCTGCAAATCTAGTTGACTCTCTGCTTCCAAAACCCATCCTATCTTTTCTCAGTCAACCAAATTCCTGACTGACATATATGGACAATACCTGAGGACTTCAGAGTAGCCCTTGGCAGCAGCCACATGAAGGGCCGTGGCCCCTGAGCGAGGCTGCCTCACATCATCTATCTTCCCGCTATTGAGCCACTGGCGGGCATCCTGAAGCATCTGCTGTTCTTCTTCTTTCCTTGACTGCTCCAGATCAACTCCTACAGAAACCAGACATGACACAGCCAGTATCACTGAAGCTTCAATTAAATCTGACAGGATATCTTCCTTAGATCAAAACCACATCATAAATATAACTACAAATAACCTTTTAGTCATCACATTGGGTATTCATCAAATTTAGAAGAGCAATGGCATTCGTACACACATTAGTGGTCTTACTAGGGTTAAATCACCAGGTTAAATATTACATGATACACATTCATTAAGGGAACACACCTAACATTGTTTCCAACAGAACATAAAGAATAAAAAGGACATTATTTTTACATTATGGTATTTGTACAAAGCTATAAACTTCTGAATCTTTTTACATATTATACGACTTTAATTTCCCAACGATCCTGGAAATTTAGTAGGTATTACTATCCTCAATTATCAGATGAGGAAATATACACAGAAAGGTATACACAGAAAGGTTAGGTATCTTGCTCAAGGCCACAAAACACATTAATAGTGGAACTGCCGCTAGAACTCTGATACCCTGGGTCCCTGTCGTTCTTTCCACTCACTATACCATAAGATTGGTATCAAAAATCTTTTTTTTTTTTAGTATAACAATTATCTTAGCAAATTCCAAGATATTTTATATTTTTTACTTTCCTTTTTTTTTTTTTAAATCGTTTTATGGGGGTACAAGTGTTCAAAAATCTTGGTTTTTAAAGTATGATATACTTTAAAAAACAAACTACCTTCAAAGTTCATTTCCATATGTAGGTAAATACATTTATCTGAAGCTATATAATCTAGAGCAGATGAGTGGGTGAATTGCAGTTTAAAAACCTGTCTGCTTTCAAAGGAATGTAGATTTTGTTTCCCTTAAAAACATGTAAGAACTGCAAGAGTTTCTTCCTGAGCCAACAACTCTCCAATGAAGAGGGGCTGGGGTAGAGGCATTCACCACTACATAAAGTAATGAAATATCCCAAATACAAACATACCCATTCAAAGAGTTTTTTGTTTTTTTGTGGGATTTTTTTGAGACAGAGTCTCACTCTGTTACCCAGGCTAGAGTGCTATGGAGTCAGCCTACCTCACAACAACCTCAAACTCCTGGGTTCAAGCAATCCTCCTGCCTCAGCCTCCCAAGTAGCTGGGACTACAGGCATGCGCCACCATGCCCGGCTAATTTTTCTATGTATTTTTAGTTGGCCGATTAATTTCTTTCTATTTTTAGTAGAGACGGGTCTCGCTCTTGCTCAGGCTGGTTTCGAACTCCTGACCTCGAGCCATCCTCCAGGCTCGGCCTCCCAGAGTGTTAGGATTACAGGCGTGAGCCACCGTGCCTGGCCCCATTCAAAGAGTTTTATAATCATTAGCAGTCTTTATCTGTGTTTGATGTGATCCTATTCAGCTCTCAAATGAGAACCTGTGAACTACTAAGGATTATCTGTCTGATTTGAGGAGGTGGATGGGGTGAAGAAGTAACAATTTAGAACAGATCAAAATTCCAAACACAAAGAAGTATTAACAATGCTGCAAAGTTAAGCATACATATGAATACCTCTTCTAATATAGTACACTCCTTAACTGAAGAATTAATTAGCAATCAAAATAGGAAAAGTAGTCTCTCCAAACAAAACTATTTTTAAAAACTCTATTTGTTTTTTTTGTAAAAAAAAAAATTATTTAATTTTAAAGCAAATCTTAGGAGATAAAACTGAGTGCGACTAGAGAGTAAACTAAGCATAAAATTCTTCAATTCAATAGGACACAAAAACTATACATGGAAGGTAGTGAAAACAAGCCGTTACTGACTTAGAACATCATTATTTTAAGGTAGGGTTGGCATACTTTCTATAAAAGGCTAAATATTTTCAGGTCTGTGGTTCTTTTGGTTTATCACAACTACTTAACTCTGCTGCTGCAGCACAGAAGCAGTTTTGGATAATATGTAACCAATGGGCATGGCAAGATTTGGCCCTGCCAGTCTGAAAGTTCATATAAGGAAAGGCCACTGGAGGTTAAATCCTTTGGGATGAATTGCAGATTATGGGTAAGGTAGTTTAGCAGAACGACTAAATAAACACTACAAATCATGTCCACAGAATTTTATGATGGTTCTAGCAGACTTCCTAAGACCTGTCCTCCTTGCTTTCTGCCTAGTGTTATCCACATTTTTTAATTAAAAGAACCGAGAATTTTCAGTAGGAAAATCCCACTCTATTCTGTGAAATGGAGTCTTCTAAATCTATAAAATAAGAATAAGCATTTTTAGAATATATTCTTCTAAGTTAGCTTCCTCGCCTTAACAAACTATGAGAATAATTTTCATGGTTAGTATGATTAAAGATAATTTCAGAGCTTACAATAAATATCTTTACCAGCACCACTTTTAGCTCTCATCAAGGGAAAAGATGCAAAGTCACAAACTGAATTTGGCCTATACTCAAATTTACACTATATCTCATCATTTCTTTGGATTCTACAATGTGTAACAAAATCCAATACCATATATATACATGGTAAGAAGCATTCACGCTCCTCATCAGATCACTCCGAACCATATAATGGTTATACAACCTCAGAGTGGCAAAAACAAGGAATGACTGGTCATTCTTTTGGCATTTGGCCTATGCTTGTGTAAGTTATTATTACAAGAGGATCCATGATGTTGGTAATTGATGATTAATGCAATGCAAACAGATCTAATCCTCTCCTGTTATATGATTATGAAAAGCTCTACACAGCATATGGATTAATTTATGCAAGTGGCAGTATTGGGAGTCTCTCCTGGCCCCCGTCAATCTGCTAGGTTACCTTGCTTCTTTACTTGTTCCAGAAGAAGATCCTTCATGGCTGGCTCTTCTGCAAGGTCAGAGGGGACTTCACCTTCGCTATTAACAATACCTACACTGGCTCCGTGGTTAATGAAATACCTGTGCAAACAAGACTCAGGGTCAATATTATCTCTGCCAATCTAATATCAATTTATATTCATGTATCTGGGGTTCGATGCATAGCAAAGCCTCTATTTGGGGGTTTTAAACATGGTCCCAGAGAAGGCATTCCATTATTAATTTCTAACTCCGTTAGCCTTCAATAATTAGCACTGGAGGCTTCTCCATTTCCTGACTAGAGCAATGCCAACAAACAGGATTTCTTTCACGCTCACATTACTAACCCCCATCCTCTGACTCCCAGCAGATAGTACCATAAGGGAGGCATGCTGCCTTAAAACTCATCCACCTTCCCCGAGGTGCAAACACACATTTCTGAAAGGACTTATTGCACTTGTAATATTAGGAATGAAAAAGAGTCCCCACAAGATATGCAAAAAAGTAATTCGCACAAAAACTTTCCCAATGCCACATTGGAGTTTATTAAGTAGTATTGTGGGTATGAAAATAGAGGAATAAAACGTGTTAAAATTTGCATGAATCTGCCTAAATTATGACTCTGCAAAACTCTCCTATCAATTAGCCATCTACATGAAATCTTCCTCTGAGAAGAAATTATTGAAGAAGAAACATTAAAATGTTATATAATTTGATTCTAAATTCAAATAGGATAATTGATCCTGAAAAAGAAAGGTCTGTTAATTTCAATACCTTACATGCATCCTTTTTGATTTTCAAAGTGCTTTCACATAAAATTATATCATGAGTCTTAGGCAACATTATAAAGTAGGTAATGTGAGTATTATTATCACCACTTTAAGAAATTGAGGTCCATACATGTTACTTAATAAATATTTTTCTCAAAATCACAAATGGCAAATGGCAGAGGCTATGGCCCCAATATCGACTTCGAGTCTAGTTCATCTCTTCTCTAGATCAAGCTATTTGGGGCCAGTGAGAACCCCATAATTCTCATTTCTATCAAATACTCAAAAGTATTTAAAGAAGACAGAAAAACTATTCAAATTAGACTCAATCCATTCAACAATTCCATAAACATTTACTAGTCCCCTACTATGTTCAAGGAAGCACATTTTAGACAATGTAGGAGATTTTAAGAAGATAATCAATAATTGGCTATTGCATTCAAAGAGTTGGCAGAAGAGAATGAATCAATAAAGATTAGATTTAGACCATGTTTCTGCTTTCTCAGTGCCTAGTACCTGGTATAATAGAGCCTCAATAAATGTTTATAAATTTATAGATCAATTCCACATATATAAAGCTTAAAGGCATTCACAATTCATCTAATTTTCAACCACCTCTTTCCTTCCCTCAGTCTCACAGGAAGATATATCTTATTCAACTACAAGGCTTACTCCTTCTGTGTTCTTAATTCTATCAAGTACCAGTATTCTGTCCATCAATGACCCCTTCATTTCCACATATTAAATAGCTCCTCTCTTCTGATTCCTCTTCCCCAGGCCAAAGGAACATTCTACTACACCTTCCCCATCACGAAAAATCAAAGTACAAATAATATACATAGTAAGCTCTCAATACATGTTTATTGAACTGAACTGTACCCTATCCTCTATAATCAAACTGAACCACTTATTATTTGCAAACATCCCACTCTCACTCAGCTCTCTTTCACAGCTCAAGTTGTTTCCTCTACCTAGATGGAACATTCTTCCTTCTCTTTTTCCTTGTAGAATCTTTCACACCTTTCAAGGTCCAATTAAAATGCTTTTGCCTTCATGAAGACTTTGCTTGTTTTCACCAACTGAATTCTCTCTTTCCTTCCTTTAACCTCATCCTCCCTCTTCCCCTGCCCCTCAAACACTAACTCTGGACCTCTGTCATGACTTATGCTATACTCTGATGCAACCACTCCATTAGACTGAAAGCTACTTGAAGGCTACAACTGTGTCTTCCTCACTATTATCATTGTCATGGCATCTGACACGCTCTCTTTACTCTTGGCACTCCATAAATATCGCCTCCACAGACATCTTAGCCACTCTGCTCTGACATCTATTTCATCCCTTATTAGGTCAGGCGCAACGTCACTCAGGTATACAAGGCCTCTGTTTTCCCTCTTCGGATGTGCTTTTGGGCCCACAATCAAGAAAATGTGTTTCTAGGAAGTAATTTGGCTCTCCATTTTTTGATTTTCTCTAGTTTTCAGATAAAAAGTAAAAAAACCTCTTCAGTTTTACTTCTACCTGAACAAGAATTAAATATCAACCTATGAAGTCATATCTACTTTATTTCTGAGAAAACTTATAGTTGCCCAGAGGCTCAGAAATAGCTATTAGCTCAATAAATATGCTCTTGGAAATAAAGACTTCCCATCCTTCCTAGCTCATCACTAATATAAGGTCTTCTGCTACTCTTCTAAGGGAGGAAGAAAAGACATGAAATGTATTCAAAAACTCAGAATAAATTAGCCTCTCAATAAACTATAAAGCCAAACTAAATGCTGTACCTTTGGGTCAATCTGCTGCCTCTAAGTTAAATACTTATTCATAATAAAAACGTAAAAACACCCAGCTAACTAGCATTAAGCCTGAACTCATTTTAAAATGAGAAAAAAATAGCCTCTAAATGTCTCTGTTTTTGATGTATTATACTGAGTTCAAATATGGGACAAAAAAAGATTATCATGGAACATGAAAAAGAATGTACTCAGATTCTTCCTGGAAAGGCAGTTTGCCTTTATTCATTTCTACTCCCTTGAAAGTTAGAGTTCCTAATGATTCTGGGAATAAGGGTTTAAAGTATAAGATCTTTAAGATACAAAAAGAAAATTGAGGAGATGACTGAGGGCTGCTCTTATTAAAATAGTCTTTATTGGCCTTGAGGTAAAGCAACCAAAATGATAACACAAACAATGGGATTCTTTTCCATTGTATGAAAAACAATACTACTGCAAATAAGTAAATACATACTGCAAATAAGTAAATAATGACAATGAAGTCAAAAGCTATCCAATAACGACATGCATAATGAAAGACAAATTAAAGAAGGCCATCCCTATAACCACCTCCCTCTGCAATAGATTATGGTCTAGATCATCACTCTCATGGTTAGACTTTCATATGTCTGATTTGTAATAATTTATATGAGGAAATAGTAATTCTCACAGATTTATTTCATTAAAGGTAATTATATTTTGAGTCAGAGATTGTTAAATTTTGAACTTATTTCCAAAGGAACTATGTTCATCCATAAAGATGAGTTAAAGAAATCGTTGTTAAAAAGCATTTATAGTCATTCTCTGTACTTAGCTACACAAAAAGGATAATGCCAACACAAGTGATCCTAATTCTAAGCATAAACTCTCCTTAGAAAAGTGAAAAAAGAAACTTAGGAAAAAAAGTAAATCCTTGAATTTAATGAGACTTGGTAGCTCAAATATCACAAACATGCACCTGAGCAAATAATCAAAAATCAGGCCCCCCATGGTGGCTCACGCCTGTAATCCTAGCACTCTGGGAGGCCAAGGCAGGATGACCACTTGAGGTCAGAAGTTTGAGACCAGTCTGAGCAAGAGCAAGACCTCGTCTCTACTAAAAATAGAAAAATTAGCTGGGTATGATGGCATGTGCCTGTAGTCCCAGCTACTCGGGAGGCTGAGGCAGGAGGATCCCTTGAGCCCAGGAGTTTGAGGTTGCTGTGAGCTACTAGCAATGCTACTGAACTCCAGTCTGTGTGACAGAGCAAGACCCTATCTCAACAACAACAACAACAAAAAAATCAATGAGGGCCCAATATGTTCTATAAATGTTTCTTAAATAAATGTTCTAAGTAAAATCATGTTAACTCTTAGGCATCCGAATCTTGGCATTACTGGATAACACTGAGAATCAGAGCCTTTCCAATGAGACTCTGAAAAAGGGACAGCCTATGGGATGAAGAGGTGACTGACTTTTACTAAATGAGAATACAGCGAGGAACCTAGAATGAAGAAATCTGCACTTGTTTATTTCTGTTGGCTTTTGGGTCGGCCAATCCAGTCGTCCACTTTTTAGAACAAGCAGCCCAGTCAAACACCAGGGCTGCTGCTGCCTAATGTTTCTCTGGCTCTGACTCTCCCTTTGTTTGACTTCTCCCGCTGAACATCCTTGGCTCAACAGCAAACTCAGCAACTCAGGCTCTCCCTCAGGAAACCTGGGCAAATCAGATTCTGTGGGAAGTCTTTCTCAGGCTTCTACATGGCTGCCAACATAATTCTCCCTGCTGTTCACTGAATAAGAGAAATGTAATGGAGCTCTAATCATTATTGAAAAGGGCCTTAAAACAAGCAATTTGATTTTCATAGGACCAGAGAATACCATGATTTTATTTAGAGAATTTACCTTATCAATCTAAATTTACCCTCATGTAGAATATACTCAGTTGCCTCATTTTAAGGATGTTTCAACTGCCCAAGTCTTTTTCCTATTAAAAATAACCTCCCTGATCATTCTTTCATGCGACAGATATTTATTTAGTGCCTCGTATAGCCCAGGCACTATGTGGTCAGGATTCTTCTTCCCAAGGGAGTCGCAACTAGTTGTCACAGAGGTTAGTAGCTATTAATGTAACTTAGTAAACATAGCTGCTCAGCTAATCTGGAGAACACATGCCAATCTCTACCTTTCCTTTGTTCCACATGTTTAGGCTCATTCTTCTATTAACTATGTGAGTTCTATGATCAGTATGCCAGGCATTTTCTACCTTCATTTGTACTAAGCAATGATCTTTTACAAAACAATAAAACAGTTTAACAAAGAAGCCCAGGAAAAAAACCTTCAGATCTGCCTATACATGTGTCCAGGTATGGCTGTTCAGAAATTGAACCCAGTCAGTACGAACAGACAGACATCCCAGAAAATGTAAATTACCTGAGAATGGAAGCAAATAAAAAGTTTCAATGAGAAAATTATGGATTTAGCACCTATGTAACATATCGTATCAACTGTTCCTTAAAAACAATTCAACTTCCTACTTTTGTAATTTGTAGTGGATTATAACTACTTATGAAATTCAAATTCTTAAGAGCAGAGGAGAAATGAAGGCTATTCCTGCAAATACTCCAAACCAACAAAGAGACTCACTCACTCTGCTATGTTGAGATAGCCACAAGAAGCTGCTGCATGAAGGGGTGTCCAGCCCTCATTGTCTTGCTGGTTTACATTGGCTCTGTTCTCCACCAGAAACTTCACCATGTCCAGATTTTCATCAATACAGGCCTGAAAAGAAAAGTCCATTCATTAATTCAACAAATATTTATTGCACTGACATTGCACTGCTGCTGCCTAATGTTTCTCTGGCCCAGCAGTTCTAATGATATATTAATTTCCATTTCTTTCATACTAAGTAAGTGTTCACAGCATGTCTTCTAAGGTTTGTAAGCCCCTTAATGTCTCCATGCCTCAATGTCTCAGCTGTGAAACAGGTATAATGATACTTAATCTTACCTACAGTACTAATAGGATTAATTATAAAAATCATTTCTAAAGTGCTATAAATGGGTGGGTTGTTTCATCATTTCATTATTATATTATAAAAAGAAAGACATGTTAGAAAATACTGATTTGCTTAAGAATTAAAAAAAAATAATCACACAAGATTAGATGTAATTTTCTCAACATGAAGTTATAGTTTTAAGGCTCTAGGATTGCTAAATAACCCCCGCTTTGGAAAGAAAGCGTAGAGTGATCATTTCAAAGAGAAGAAATGTTATTTTCTTTTCATGTATTTTCTGAATGGCGTCAAACAATATGGCAAAGTATGTTTGTCGTTATGAATGGTTAGGGATCCTCATCTGCCCATATCATGGCAGCAATTAGAAGAAAGCAGAGAAGGTTTTTGAATAAAGGCTTTAGGCTTACCATAGCCTAAAAGAAATAGTCACAAACAGCAATGAGATGTGCAAAAACCAAAGCGCTGGCTTGACATAGCTATAGAATAGAAAAGAGGCACTATAGAAAGCACACAATGACAAAGGTAATCATCATGAAGGCTTAAATGGTTCCAAAACAGTTGGGATAATTCAGGACCTAGAAACAAAATAAGACCTCTTTCTTAAAACTTGCCTTTTGGCCAGGCGCAGTGGCTCACGCCTGTAATCCTAGCACTATGGGAGGCCGAGGCGGGCGGATTGCTCGAGGTCAGGAGTTCGAAACCAGCCTGAGCAAGAGCAAGACCCCATCTCTACTATAAATAGAAAGAAATTAATTGGCCAACTAATATATATAGAAAAAATTAGCCGGGCATGGTGGCGCATGCCTGTAGTCCCAGCTACTCGGGAGGCTGAGGCAAGAGGATTGCTTGAGCCCAGGAGTTTGAGGTTGCTGTGAGCTAGGCTGACGCCACGGCACTCACTCTAGCCTGGGCAACAAAGCGAGACTCTGTCTCAAAAAAAAAAACAAAAAAAAAACTTGCCTTTTCATCACCTCCTTAAAAAAAAAAAGTTAAAACTTTAGCTGAGGAAGAATTACCCAAATTAAATGACTTTCACATTATGACATTATTTGCTTTTTCATTGTGTTGACATTTACACTAATGATGCAAAAGCAATGGTGGGTAAAACTGCTAAGGCCTTAGCGTGAATCAAGGCAGCGTCATCAAAAGATACTGGTAGGCACTGTATTCTTCCTCACTGCACACTCACAGTTAAAAAAAGCCTATTTCACTTAAGAATGACCTTGATGAAGCAGCAAAAATTATTAATTTTATTAAATCTCAATCCTAGAGTATAAGTCTTTTTAATATTCTATGTGACAAAAATGGAAAGTATACTTAAAGTACTGCTGTATACGCAAGTAGATGGTTGATTTTAGGGAAAAGCACTGTGGATCTGAGTTATGAGATGAAATTAGCTGTTTTCATGGAACACTATTTTTACTCACAGGAATAACAGACAAATTACAGTTATTCAGACTTGAAAATGAACATAGTGAGCCCGTCACTTCAAAAACAATAACTGTATTTGTTGCAATGATAAAATTAGACCATTCAAGTGAAAATTAGAATTTGGGGAAACATAGCCACCACCATAAGCTTGACAGCTTCCCAATACTTGCTTTTCTGATGAAATCAGTGGGACTATCAAAAAAATATGGATTGTTGATATTGTATAATAAAATGTATTTACATTTGGAAGATCTGTATAATATATTTTCCAAATAACCAAATGCACAGTGTTAGAAAGTCACCCGTGGGTAAAAGGTTCATTCAAAGTACAAGTTAGACCGATGAGTTTTAATGTAACAGAATAAGAAAAGTCCACTGATAGGATTTCAGTTTCCACATTGCAACTAACCTTTAAGAAACTACCAGTTCTTAAACTAACATTTAAGAAATTACCACTTGTTGGAGTTTGGTACAGTATCGGAAAAAAAAAAAAAAAAACAACCCAGCTACAACTGTCTCACAGGTTATTAAAATACTTCTCCCTTTTCCAAAAATATATCTATGTGAGGCTAGATGTTATATACTTTAATCAAAATAATATATCACAACAGATTGAAGTCAGACATTAAAAGAAAATTGTAAAAACATAAAACAATGTCACTCTTCTCACTGGGCTTTTTTGTTTTTGAAAGTACCTATATAATTTTTAATTATAATATGATTTATATTAATATATAAATGCGTTATTTTTAATGATTTCATAAGCACATATTTAATATAATTCAATAATTACATTTTTTTTAAATTCCTCAATAATATATGTATTAACCAATATGGATGAAGTCCTAAATAAGTTTTGGGGGTCCTGAATACATTTTTAAGTGTAAAGGAATCCTAAAATCAGTTTGATGACCACTGCCTTCAAGCTAACTACCAAGAAATATTCTATGGTATTAATGAGCAACTGTTTAAACAGTGAAAGATTACTGTGGGCAGACCTAAGTTAGAATTCCAGAGGCCTTTCATAACTACAGAACTTAAATAGTACATTTCAGAACAAGAGAATTTATAGGAACTCCCTCCAGAGATAAACCCCATGTCAATCCTGTCTAAAGTAGGGGGATAGGTAAAAAAATGTTGATTCCATTTAGAAGAAAATTTAATTAGGTAACTCTGGCTATAAAAAGTATCTTTGTTAAATTTTCCTAAGCCATTTGATACTCCTTTTATAATTACTGAGATTACCTAAACATATCAGCCTAGATTTGAGGTGATAAAATGTAATATATTCCTCCAATCTCACCTGTTGAGGCCAATCTGGCTTTTATAGCCACTATTCATAATACTGCTATTTCAACAGCAGCTCCAGAAATTACATTTCTTCTATGATTTTTAGGTTTATCAACTTCCACAAGCATTCCCCATTTACTCTTTACTTCTTTACCATGTAAAATATTTAATAATTATTCATAATATTTTAAAATATTACATAATTATGCTAAATTGGCCATATTATCACTAAATTGGCCATATATTACATGTCTGCCAGTCTGCAATTCCATAGATCAAGATTTAGCCATCCCATTGCAGAGTATCATGCTCAAAACTGTAAACAAAGATTTTTAAGTGAAAGAAATGGAAGGGGGCACTTTTCAAAAAGGTACTGAAGCTCAAGGAGAAGAAAGTGTTGTAGAGGTTGTGCTAAATACACTCTTTGCCCTTACACTCTTACATCAAGAAGCTCAAATGTGCCATCTTAACCTGTGTGGGCCAAGACAGTTGGGTCAACTGCTGCTTGCTTGGTTGCAAAATTTCTTTGGCTCTGAAGAACAGTCTAAAAACTTAGCTCCAATGGCCACATCACTACCTGGCAGACTTTTGTAAGCCAATGTTCTCAAGATCATTCTTTGCCCTTTGAAGATGACAGCAGCCAAATTCCAGAGGGCCTAAAATAAGCCCAGCTGGTCCAGGTTTCAAATGGGAGAAAACTTATCTTTTCTCTTTCCTTCTCTCTTACATCTCCCTCCCCACTCCTCATTTCCTTAATCTCCCTTACCCCATCACTACTTCATTTTTTTCCTTTTAAATTTTATGATATTATATCTATAAACCTCAAATCCTTGATACAATTTTTTTTTTTTTTTTTTGAGATGGGGTCTTGCTATGTTTCTCAGGCTGGTCCCAAATTCCTGGACTCAAGCGATCCTCCCACCTCAGCCTTCTCAGTAGTTGGGACAACAGGCAACCACCACCATACGCTAGCTAATTTTTTACTTTTGTAGAGGGAGGGTTCTCACTCCTTGCTCAGGCTGGTCTTGAACTCCTGGCTCAATCAGTTCTCAGCCTGGCCTTCCAAAGTGCTAGGATTACAGGTGAGAGCCACGGGGCCTGGCCAAGACATTCTTCTTTATCTTTGGTTTTTAACAATTTAATTATAATTGCCTAGAGTATTGCCTTGTACAGCTATGTGTGGCTTGTAGTCCAGACAGATCAGAGTTGCATACCAGCTCTGCCAATGCAAATAACTTTGAGTGGGGTATCTAATCTCAGTACCAGTGTATGTACTCATCTATCGCATTGGGAATACCACCTACTTCATAGGGTTTGGAAGATTAAAGGAGATAAGCCCTTTGGATAAGTTCCTGAATGTGTTTTTAC